AGATAAAAATAGAAGCAAGGAAAATAAATGACTTGTTTAAGGTGACATAATTAGTTGATGACAGACTAGGAACAAAAAATTCCAGTTTTCTCCACTACTCCCTCCCATAGTGAACAGCTACAGACTATACCATGACATTTCCTTTGTTCTAAGACTAATATTTAAAAAGACCTAAGATCCACATTGATGTGAAAATGGAGTTGAATAGTAGTTAGTAAATGTGATTCTGATTTGGCCAAACAAAGCTACCATCTGTTAAGTGCTTCCCTTTCTCTCTCTCTCTCACTCTCGCTCTCTTGCTCTCTCACATGTATGGACTCACACATGTACACACATGCACCTTTCTTTGTCTCATGTCTCTTAATTCCAACCCTTCTTAGGAGTAAATCTTAGAAATACTTGGAATTTATGGATGGGTAGGTTATGAAGGAACAATCAACTTGAACTGAATTAAGAAAAACCAAAATGAGCCAAGTGGGGTGGTGTGTGCCTATACTCCCAGCTGTGGTGGCCTCCCTTGAGCCCAGGTGTTTGAGTCCAGCCTGGGCAACATAGTGAGAGAAAAGAAAAAGAAAAGAAAAGAAAAGAAAAAAATGAAAAGTTTATTGTTTCTACTTCCATCTGTTAGTAATAAATTTTAGCTACAAGTCAACAGCAAATCCAATGAATATCACCAACCAGGAAACAGTTATACCGTATCTTAGATTAAACTCTGTTGAAAGGAACTTATGCTCTTATTAACTACTATTTATCCTTGCTTGGCTTTTTTACCTTTCATGCAGAGGAAATAGAAGTCAATAACGAAATCATAGACTCAGATTTTGGTGTTCCTCCAGAAGTTCACTCTAGATAAGCATAATATAATGGACATAATAATTTTTTAAAAGTTTGCTAGACTTGTAGTCTAGAGACCTGGACTCCTCTATTAAATCAGTGTGAATGTGGGGGCATCATCTAATTTCTTTGGAGCTTGTGTTCTTTGTTTGTAGATGACTTAGTAAACTTCTACGTCTCTCATGCCCCTTCCACTTCTAAAATTCTTTAAAATAACGTTAGCCTGTAGAGCTGAATTCTGACCCAGTCTTGTGAAATCTTAGCTGTGGACATTCAGCCACATTTCACTTCTCTTATACTACCTGCAGATGATTTTCTGTGGAAAGGACGTTTTAATGGAGATGGAAGATCTCAAAAACAGTTTTCACTCCACTTCTTACTTCCTCTGAGACTTTTAATAATTTACTCAACCTTTCTACATCTGCTTCCACAGTATAAAATGAAAAAAAAATATACCTCTGTGGTTTAAATAATAGGTTACAGTAAGAAACAAGTGTAAAATCACATATAAACTATAACTCCCCACAAAATATAAGAAATGATGTCTTTAAAATAGAAACAGTGCAATGGACTTTCTTAAAAGTCTTTAAAATATTGTTCCCTGTCTTAGCCTGCTCAGGCTGTTATAACAAAATACCATAGACTGGGTGGCTTAAACATTTTTTTTCTCATAGTCCTCACAGTTTTCTTGAAGGCTGGCAAGTCCAAGATCAAGGTGTCAGCAGATTTGGTTCTTGGTGAGAGCCTGCTTCCTGGCTTGTAGACGGCTGCCTTCTCTTTGTATCCTCACATGGCAGAGAGAAAACTCTGGTGTTTCTTCCTCTTCTTGTAAGGACACTAATCCATCATGGGTTTCCACCCCATCTAAACCTAATTATCTCTCAAAGACTCTACCTCCTACTACCATCACATTGGGGGTAAGAAATTCAACATATGAATTTGGGAGGGACACAAACATTCAGTCTATAGCACTCACATTAATGCTGGAGAAAGATGTTAGTTCAATTGAGACATGTTTTCATACCCCCAAAGGAAATGGAAATTCCAAAAGAAATTCAGGTCATTAATAGTTTGAACAAACTATAATTTTGCTATTAAAATTTTGGCAAGAGGCAAATGCTCTCAAATTCAACATATCAACAGTTAAGCCATCTCTCTTTAACAATTCCATGTATTTTAGATTTCTGTGAGAATGTGAAATTTTAAAGGAAACACAGAAATCAGCTAGATTGTCTCTGCATTTTATGTACGTGGATGTTGAGACCACCAGGAGGTGAATATTTTAGCTAACTGCTTATTATGGATGGAGACAGGTCCTAAACTGATGGCCCTTCTTCTATATCACATCTTTAGTAGTAGCCATCTCAGTATCCCTAGGGAGAGAGTACATTGTTTAGAGGTTTTGTTCCAGCAGGACTTAATGCAGAGAGTGTATAGGATTTCCAAACTGTGTGATCGAGTAGGGCAAGCTAGAAGTCATCGCAAAGAGCATATTTTCTACCTCCTTCATTTTGATATGGGAAACTGGAAAGTTAAGTTGCTGGCCAAAGGATTTCATAGCTAGGGTGCTGGATTAATGCAGGGAAAGCATGACGGCTTTGAGTGAGGCCTAGGACGGAACTAGGTTCTACCACTTTTTAGCTGTGTGACCTTGGGACAATTAGTTTTAGCTTTCTTGACCTTCAGTTCCATATCTGGAATTTAATAATAATGTAAAGATGAAACAAGATAACAGACAAAGTGCCCAGTACATAATAAGCACTCACCAGCCCCAGCTTCTTCTTTAGCAGCAAATCAAGGACTGGCAATCACAATTCTTAACTCCCAGTCTAGTGCACTTTCCATTACACTTCATGTTACATGGGTAACATTGTTCTGAACTGAGGCTATTAAGTGCATTTTTAAAAACCTTGTCTTCCAAACTCAGTCTGTTCACATTTTTAATAATGCAAGAAAGGAGCTGGAAGTTGGCCCACAGAGATTTTTATGAACCAAAGGGTTATTTTCAATTGGATTTTGTGCCTGTTGTTATGGAAATAGTTGTTTCATAGATTAAGCATTACGATTTTACTGCAAGATCAAGCCTAGAATGGGGTCTAACGATGATATCACCCCTATGCTTCTTTTCCTTGACAAAATACATTTAAAATGAAAAGAATGGGAGTGAAATTGCTTCAAAAGCACATATTTCTAAGAAAAAAATGATCTCTCCTATAAAAATAGTTTTAAAATGATATATTCTCTTTTCAAAAAAGATCAAAACTGAGGATGGCCCGTGGTGCCAGTAGGACGCTAAGATGCTGCAGAGTTATTAAACACTTCTTTCTTCACTATTGAAACTAGAAAGAGTCCCTTTGATCCTGGAACTTACTTTCAACATTTGGTCTCAAAATATTTTTGCAGTTGCTGAACTAACAGGCTTTCTCCAGTTATTTAGGGATCATTCTCTCAAAACTGTTCTGTCTAGTATAGTTTTTATTCCTGTATCAGGATGTGTAATTTAACTTCACTAAAAACAAAGAGATGATTTCTAATCTTAATGATAGTTGGTACTGCTTAAAAAAACTGAGGCAGTTCATCCTGTAAAATTTAGCTTATATCACTGTCTCATTTTAAGCCCGAGACACACCAACCTAGGATACAAGACTTCTATCATCCGTAATAGCGTAAGAGAGAAATCAAGGCTGGGTGAATAGCCTGCAGTTCTAAAAGCTAACAATGATCTCACGTGGATGGACTACTTAGGTTTCTTCTACTTGGTTCCCTTATTTATTTTTTCTCTTTCCTCTTTCCTTGATCCTTCTCCCTGGCCTCTATCTTCTCCTATGTCCTCCAGTGATTCTCGGGAATCAATTGGTTTTGCTGGCAGAATTTGGTTTAAAGAAATTATGAATTTCAATCCCGATCCTCAATCAGTTGAAAGTCCTGAAACTCAATGATGTCATGCCCTTCATTATTTTAATGTACCAACAAGTTTCAGTACTTAAAAAGATAAGAGAAAATCTATCACCAAATAATGTATCTTTAATGTTATTTTTCTCAATGAATCATAATGTCAGATTAATAGAAATACATATTTCTAATAAAAATTTCCAGTTACAGTAAAATCATTTCACCTTGCTTTGTTTTAAAGTTGAAGAGGGGCATAGTCTAACTTTGTCATTTCAATAATTTCCACCATATGCCTTTCTGAAATAATATGTCTGTTCCATTAATAAGTCTATTTAAATTCCATTTGCACAGGTTTATATAGATTCACTAGCAGTTACTTTCCCAGTTGGTTACACTTCTTGCCCGCTATCTTTTGGCCATTAGCTGGGAATCCCTGACCTCTGCTGTTGGTTACTATCACCATTTTTCTTTCCCACTCAACATTTGGAACTTTATTGGCTTTGCGTTCTTTTCTTTTTTTGTCCACTTACTGCAAGTTAATACCTGCACCTACAGAAATGCCTCCATCACACACAGAGAGATTTGCAACATATACACACATATATATGTCAAATAGGTATAAGGAGGTTTTTTAGACACAACATTTCATAAATTTAGGAGGCAAATAAACCTAAGAACCTGGTAAACATTGGAAGTACGTGGTGATGCAAGAGCTAAAAAGCAGCCATCACATGACATAGTATCTAGGGTAGCCTTCTTGCCAGAGTCTAACCAGCCACTCACCAAAAGTGCTTAGCTAAGGACCTGTGCTCAGACGTCTTCTGGAGGTCAGCGGTTACATGACTGCTAGTTACTCCATTAGTAAGAAAGCGATGGCTGTAAAAATCAGAGATTTCCTTAAAAAAAAGTGTGTGTAAATTTGGGAAGCTTCCCAGTGCTATATTGACTGTGCCTATTTATGACAACAGGTTAATTCACTTGTCTTAGATCAACATATAGGTTAATGATTCTTAAGTTGTCACACCTGAATGTTTGTTAACTTGTCATTTTTCTTGCTTGCTATGTATAACTCTAATGGGCTTGAAAATTGGTCCAGCCAGTCTCTTCTTTTCTCTCCTTTCTCTCCCTCCTCTCTCTCATGTCTTTCTCTCTTCTCTCTCTCCTCCCTCTCCCTTGCTTTCTCCCCTTCTTTGTCTCTTTCTCTCACTTTCTGTGAGGTTCATTTGCTTGACTGATTCTGAGTGTCCATAATGACTGTTTGGCATATTCTACAGGCAAAGGTCCCGAGACCCTTTTTGCTGGCTATAACCTCAATGATAATGAATGGCACACAGTGCGTGTGGTTCGGCGAGGAAAAAGTTTAAAGTTAACTGTGGATGACCAACAGGCCATGACAGGTAAACTCCTTGTCCCTATTGACTTTGCTAATGCTAATGCTTTACACTTTCTCATTTTTTGCAGGTGGCTTTTCAAATCAAGGCTCGTACACAACTTGAAGCTTATACACACGATTCATTTTATATTCTAAGTTTTCTCCTAACAATTTTATTTAATGAGCAGCCTGTTAAATGTTTTTCCTCCCCAATGATCAACACATTTTATGTCATTTTTGCCCTTTAATATTTTGAGAAGAAATTATAATATATTTTAATTTTTTTTGTCTGATAAATTTCTTAGTAACACATAAAATATTGAAGTCATTGTTTGGATGCCAATTTCTGTTTAGTTTCCTTGTTTCTTAAATATTTAGGGGATAAACAGCAGCAAGTTCTACTTCTTAGCTTCTAGGTAAATTGATAGATATACTGGCATTCTGTTAGGTGACCCACTTTTTCACTTGAAGCTATAATAGATCATTTTTGGCCATTTAGCTCAGTTGGTTAAACTCAAGTATTAAGAATGTCAAGTTCAATCCCAATTTGTAGATTCCTAACACAGATGAGCTATACAAAGCTTGACCCTGGAGACATAGGGAAACCAAATGAAAGAGGAATCAGTGTGCCTTTATTTTCTCTGAAAATAACTCCAAGCACATGACCCACTGGGATATTAGCTTCTCTTTCTTTTTTAGAGAACAGCTCCATGTTAATTATTCTAGTAAAAAGCACAAGATGGTCCTTGTGCAATGGAGAAGTGTCTGTTCATTCAATCCCAAAGAGGTTCCCATGCTCAGAGGGCAGTCAGCTCTATCAATGTGGAGATATCAAGTGTAGTGTTTTAACTTTTGAAAGAATCATTCCCTAACTTAGAGAAGGAAGGCAGAAATTTTAATAATGGCCATTCTGACAGGGGTAAGGTGATATCTCATTATGGTTTTAATTTGCATTTCCCTGATGATTAGTGATGTTGAGCATTTCTTCGTATGTTTCTTGGCCATTTGTCCATCTTGTTTTGAAACATTTCTGTTTATGTAATGATTTTTAAGAGTAAATCAGCCTTGATTTATATAGTACAGAAAAGGTTTCCAAAAGTAGCAATGGAAACTTGGAATTGAGGCTTAAATTTAGAATGGGATTTTTTTTTTTTCCCAAACATCTTAGTGGCCACTTGAAACCACCCATGAATCAGGGAAGCAATTGAGGTTTCTTATTAAATTTTACAGCAAGTCAGAAATCACTGAACGGGAAGAATTTTAAAAAGGAAAACACAAGGGACTCTTCATGCGAAGTCCTACATTTTCTGACATCTGTTAAGTCTGTTGAACATAGGGCAATACATACTGCAGCTGTTCACGAGAATGTCTGCACCTCACCTAAGGTAATGAGAATAGCAGTTGCCAACAGAGGAGCTCAAGGAGGAAGATTTCCTAGGTATAGTGTTGTACAAACTATGTGCAGTCCATAATTGGGAAGTCACTGGGTTTCAACTCATCACTTTGTCTAAAAAAATCTGGTATTGTGTGTTTCGTATGTGTGTGTATGTCCTTTGTTAAAAAAATATTCACCATATATCCAGTTCCTCAAGCCTAAAAGCCAGGGATAATCATCCCCCTTCACCATTCTGCACATTTTTAGTAAATCCTGTAAGTTATATCTGAAAATTATCTCATTTTATCCATTGTTTTTCATTTCTGCTGCAACTACCCTAGTCTAAACCCTCTCCAATCTATTGTACTGACAAAGGGATTACACACACACACATACACACATACAGCCCTTTTGAGTCATATTTCACTCCCACTTAAGACCCTCCAATAGCTCCTAATATAATCAGAAGGTATTGTATGAGATCTGGTCCCTGGTGCTCTTCCAATCTCATGAACCACTAACTTGGCTTGCTCACAACTCTCCATCCATGCTGTCTAGCACTTTCTCATGCAAAGACTTTTGTTCACCTGTCTTCCCTTCCTGGAATCCTCCTCTTGATTCTTCTCCAGGTCTTAGCATGGCTTTCTCCTTTTAATCCTTCAAATCTAGCTTAAATATCAAATCAGGCGCCTGCTCCCATTCCACATTTACTAACACAATACCCCATTCATCAAATTCATACCATTTCTCCGAGATTTGTTATTATGTATTTAATTATATCCTACCTTTTTTAGTCTGCCTTCCCCCAGTAGACTGTGAGTTTTATGACAGGGGCCGGGTCTATTCTTCTCAACCCAATATCACCATTATGTAGCATAGCACCTAACACATATACCATACACTGAGTAACTTTAAGTGAATTAACAAGTGAATATAAGGCTTGGGGATTATTTTGTTCCACACCAGAAATTTAACCCAGCTCAGAGCAACACTGAACCTAAAATAGGTAATCTTGCTATATGTTTTGGTAAAAATATTGGACTTAGATATTGAGATTTCTGTACAAACACACCATCTAAGAAACGTGTTCTGGTGGTTGTCTCGTAGGAGACTATTGCCAATCTGCTATACCCCAGACACCTTGGTCAGAGGCATTTTGCTAATTCCAAATTCTCCTTTCCACTAAATCTCTATAAATGACAGTACATTTTAAAGTGATTAGAATCTTAAAATATTTTCTCCTTCAGAGTCCTTTATTTTTTCTTACTGAATCAACGCACATATATATGATAGTAGAAGTGGGTACACTACTGATAAAAATTAAACACTGGAGTAGATTCTGAGGGAAAAATAATTTTTTAAAAGGCAGCAGTCAGTTAATGTTTTCTTAGTCAGTGGATATTGGCTTTTAGGTGCTAATTCTCCCCCATGAGCAAGCATATGTGCCATTGCTGTCTGTGTGATTTATATAATGTACTTAATGATATAAATATACATATTAAAGAAAGAATATGCTCTTGAATATAGACCATGATGTTCTTTCTTGTAACAGGGCCATGATTGCTTCACACTATTTTACTACCTTTTTGTTATTTATGTTCTGCATACATATTCTGTTCCTTTGAGAAAGAAAATCTGGTATTAAGTGTTATTTTTGTCACTGAACGTCTTAGTCCTGCTAAACAAAATGGTCTTCCCTATTTCAGAGCTGCCAAGAAGTTGACAATATGGGGTAATATTTAATTTCAAATATTAGAAATATTTTGTCTGGACTTCTTTTTTACTACTTATTCATCAATAGAGCCTTTAAGAAGAAATGGGTTCACTGAGTTAAGACTTAGATTTTGATATAGCAAAAATGATAAAAATAAACATAAGGGACTATCAAAGCCCAAGTGATTTTTAAGCTTTTCATATTCTTCATTCTATATAGCATCTTAATTCAATGTTGCTGGTGTCTCTAGAGTTTTATATTTGGAAATTATTAAAGGTTAATTTTATTTGCTATCACAGAGATAGATCCCCACAGAGCAGTATTGAGGTCGTTGAATAAGAACTGAAGAAAGAGAGGGAAATGATGTCATATGAGAAACCAGAATTGCTAAGGATGTAATAATGTTTTAGCATCGAATAGATAATCAGGAGGCATGGTGTTGGAGGTGGGGAGAAAAGAGACAGTTATTTACAATGATTTCTTTGTTGTTGAAAGAAAAGTTTTCAGAGAGGGAATCAGAACAAATCAATGGCTGCAAAGAGAGCATGCCAAGGCAGACTGGAATCCTGTTACCAGGACCAAGAACTAGTAAAGAGTGTTTGAAAATTAAGTAAAGTACAGATCAGGAGAGAGTTTTGTACACCAATGAGTTTATATCATCAAAGTCAATTAACTAAGTAAATAAACAGTTTTTCTTTTACACCAAAAAACATGGCTTCTAAATTTTACTTACAAGCATTTCCTTAAAATGCCATTTAATAGTTTACAGTCTTAACTAAAGAAATAGAAATCTGTCAGACTGGTTGATGGGGACCCATGTAGGTGGGTGTTCAATCTTTATTACACCTGGGAAGAAGGTTTAGTGCATTGTCTCAGGAGCTGATTCTGAGATTAGCTCTAATTAATATATTCATTAAGATTATGGATGATAAGATAGGGTGAACTTGATAAAATTTCCAATTATGGCAAATTGGATAGGGAAGCTGTACCTGGAAGAACTTAATTGCAATTTAAATGACCATTTTGAGTTAGAAGAGAGTGAATGATGGTTTAATTAGACAAAAGCAAAATGCTGGGAGTGAAAAACGGGCACTGGTAAGAGTTACTTATATTTATGTTGTGCTTCACTATTTAGAAAACAAGTTTACATCTTTATTTTACTTTCAACCTTGCAAGCAGGTACAATTATCATTCTGGTTGTAAAGATGGGGCTAGGCTGGCTTTTAATGAATTTGACATGGAAATGTGGTGAGATGGAGAGGAATGAGGGTAGAGTTGAGTAGTCAATTGTTCAATAAATCCGTAGCTAAGCTTCGCACTAGGATGTTTAAAGAAGATTATGCCTTGTGGCAATGTGAGCTAATTTTACTGGTGTTATCAAAATTGGGCATGCCCTGAATTAGTGTATTGTGCTCAATTTAGTTATCCAAAGCATAGTGCAAGGAAAATGGCATAGGTCCAGAGAGCAAGACAATTTCTAATGTGTTTGGGAGACTGATGCGAACAAAGACTATAGACATTATTCAGCACAGAAAAGGGAAAGTGAAAAGTACATATTTAACTTTAAAGGCATTTTCATGGTTCATTATTGGAGGAATAGGCAGCAACACAACACTCCTCTGTTTCTATTGGGTACAAGAAAATATATAGTCACTATTTTTTCCTGGAAGAACATTTATATATATTATAAATTAACTATATAAATTACATATAATTTATAAAATTCTCTATATAAATTATATATAATTTACATATAGTTAATTATAAATTTATATATAAATTATATATATAAAATATCAGCTAATCATGAAGCTGGTATATATCACTTTACTGGGATGATTTAGAATACTCGCCGACCCTAACCATCCATCCATCTGTCCCTCCCTCCCTCTCTTTCTCCTTTCCTCTTACCCTTTCCTCACTCCATTCCCAACTTTCTTCCTTTCTTTATTTTTTCTTTTATTAAAAAAAAATCCTGTAACTTTTTGTTAATGAGGATGATTTTTGTTAAGACTAAAATTTGGACAAGGATTAAAACCTGACCTAAGAACGTTTTATTATGTAAGCCAGCCTTATTTTACCCTTTAACATCACCTAGGTGTTCTTACTATGCAAGACTAAATATCATGAAGATATTCAGCTCCTTGTATATTAAAATGTAATATTGCTATGGAAGTCTAAAGTTGAAAGTACCTTTTGGATATAAAAAATAATAATATGTTATCTTTTCTTTTAGGTCAAATGGCGGGTGATCATACGAGGCTGGAGTTCCATAACATAGAGACTGGCATCATCACAGAACGACGGTATCTTTCTTCTGTCCCCTCCAACTTTATTGGACACCTACAGAGCCTAACATTTAACGGAATGGCATACATTGACCTGTGTAAAAATGGCGACATAGATTACTGTGAGCTCAATGCCAGATTTGGCTTCAGGAACATCATAGCAGACCCTGTCACCTTCAAGACCAAATCGAGCTATGTTGCCTTAGCTACATTGCAAGCCTACACTTCTATGCATCTTTTTTTCCAGTTTAAGACAACATCCCTAGATGGACTAATTCTATATAACAGTGGAGATGGAAATGATTTTATTGTTGTTGAATTAGTTAAAGGGTGAGTACATGTCAGTTTGATGACAAATAAATAAAACCTTGGGACAATGGACCTAGATTTCCAAAAATTTATACTGAACAGAATGTATCGGCTTGTAAGGTGATAGGCAGAGGTATGGGGGGTGAACAAATAAAGCATTTGTTTACATCATTTCTTGGATGTCTTAGGTTAATAGGGATTCAGTCCAGTCTTTTATACCTACATTTCTATGTATGAGATACAACTAACATCGAGTTCTAATTTACAGGAGGCATTTCATGAATCTTACACTTCAAAATGTGTATTTCATGACTACGCACAATGCAATTCCACAAAAGAATTCCCAGAAGCGTGTAGGCTAGTCTGTGCTAAATTAAATAGCTAATTCAAGTACTTGTATTACTTAAATTTCAAAAAATCCCATTCAACCCAAGTTCAATTCTGTGTTATATTTCCTTAAAGAATTTAGAAAGATTTGTGTGAAATTTCCATAAAACTGTGAGGAAAATTTGATGCATCTTAACTGATTTGAGCATTTATCAGCAGATGCTGCATATTTACAAAGGGCCAGATAATGTGCCAGGCACTGATGTGAATATATATCCCTTGCCACCCCTGTGCACATCTCAGATTTCCAGAAACCCCAAGCCACACACACCAACATACAATCCTAGGGGGTATAGGTTAACACAAATATAACAGAAAAGCACTATGAAATGTTTTCTGAGATGATCATGTGCCAAGCCTCAGGAGAGTCATCAGGGAAATCAGAAAAACCTCTAGGGCAGGAAGTAGATTTTTGAGCTGGGTCTTGAAGGATGAGTGCACATCAATATACAAAAAGAGTTTTGAGTTGAAAGGATAAACAGGTGCACAAAGAATGAGAAGAAGAACCATTCCAGTGTGCCTAGCAAAGGATGGAGGGAATGGTAGAAATAGGAAAAGCGTAGTGAAAGACATTACCTTCCAAAGTCATAAAGAAAAATGTAGACCGTGATTTTAAAAATTATATTCACTATTTCCTAGAGTAATCCTTGCTGAAACAGAGTAGTGTTTCTTAATTTCTTATTACCTGAGCTCTGTGTAAGTCACTCTCATGACTTCTATTCAGGATAGAACTGCCTGGAAAAAAAATCACCATTTGTAATATTTAGTTTGACTTCATCGAAATTTCATAAAGTGATGGCACTTTCCCCTCTTTCATTCTTTTCCCAGGTACTTACATTATGTGTTTGATTTGGGAAATGGTGCTAACCTCATCAAAGGGAGCTCAAATAAACCTCTCAATGACAATCAGTGGCACAACGTGATGATATCAAGGGACACCAGCAATCTCCACACTGTAAAGATTGACACGAAAATCACAACACAAATCACGGCCGGAGCCAGGAACTTAGACCTCAAGAGTAAGTACACGCTACTGCAGGAGTAACCCGCATGCACCTCAGGCTCTGCCTTCACACGGGTGATCCTCTGCTTAGGGGGGTGTTTGTACTTTCCACAGAGACTGACTAGAATTTGATTTTCAGAATGTAATTAATAATACAACACACAAGCCTCTGTTCCCCCTTTAATGTGGTAGGAACCTATGTATTTTTAATAGCAGCTCAAAAAATGCAACACCTAAGACAGCATGCATGGTTAAAATTTAAAGAGTCAGAAAAATGTATTATTAGACTTGATATTATAAAGAAAAGTAGGTATTTGCAAATTTCTTTGGTCCCAACAGTTTTCAATCAATTTGGAGTCAAGGTAACAAGATACACATGGAGATTCTCCTAGACCCTATTAGTTTTCTTTCCTTGGTGAGGTTTCCTAGATCCTTACAGATCCTCTGACCATCAGGGATCTGAGCCTGGCTTCTACCTTGTGTCTCCAACAGTGAATTCTATCCCCCAACCCACCTCCCCGACACCCACCCACCCATGGGAATGCTTCTTTCACCAGCTGCTAAGAAAGTCTTCCCTTCCTTATTGATACTTGATTTCTCAAGTGCACAAGACAAAATGCTTGGAAAACATGTCAATAATAGGGGTGAGAAACACAAGTTTCTATTTGAATGGGCCTTTGTGGTTCACTAAGAATGTATCCATATATCCCATCTCATGTAACGCTGCATCAAGCATTGAAGAAGTTACTATTGACATGACATTCTCAGTGTAGGAAATATGAAGTTTGAATGACTTGCCCAGAGAAAACAACTATTAGAGAGAAAGGTAAACCCAGTTCCGCCAAATGCCCCCCCCCATTGCTTCTTCCGCTCTATCTTGATGCCTTACAAAGCCCTGCAGATACCATTGCAGACATAATTTTGCATGAAAAGAGCCCCTGGTTTTATTGATGGGATCTTTCCCTTTGATTCAAAAGGTAAATACATTGGGAAATTAGGGCACTGGAAAGAGAAAATTCAACAGACCACTTTTTAGAGAAAAATGCTCTTTCTAAATATGGTGAAAGGAGAAATAACAGTGTTTCATTTCTGTAATTGCAGGATATGTTTACAATCCTGGGACTTTATTTGTCCAACACATAAAATGTGTGGTAATGGCCGTCTCCTTTCTTTCACAGTGGGCTTCATGTTAACTTCAAAGAGATTTTGTTTGTGCCCACAAATCTAATAGCTTAGCTCAGAAAATAAAATGAAATTCAAAGGAAGTGCCTTTAACAGGCCAAACGTCTGCTCTCTTTCTTCTCTCCGACTGAAGTGCATGGAGTGCTTTTTGTCTCTATTTTGTGGGTGACCCTGTTTTGCACGGCAGACTCAGGTGGTGATTGTTAAGGGAAAGGGAGGAATTGTAAACTTCAGTGTGCTGGCCAAGGCACGAAAGCTAGAGCAAAACAGTGCCCCGTTTGTGTAGGTGAGACCTCAGGAAGCATAAGTGAACTTCACTACAAACTATGGACTCAAGGTTGGAGACTAAAATGGCTAGAAAGTAGCAGTTTGCAATGGGTTGAAGTATGTGGCGTGCACCACCCTGCACATCAAGAGTCCAGAGGAGCAATGCCAGGCTGTGTGTTGTGTCTCTGGATATTTAGGACAGTGTCTCCTGAGAAGTAAATATTTGCTTATTGTTCATTAAAAAAATAGAAGTGAGGGTAATTGGATATTGTGGTCTAGGATTCTTTCTTAAATTCTACTTCACAAATCTAAGTAGCTCTCAGACCTGATTTTTATTAAAACATTGAGTATTTCATAACTCTGAATGTAAGACAGGCTTTGCCCATGTCCCCCCCCCAAAAAAAAACCACTAAAACTATGAATTGAGAATAGCATATTATATAATATTAAGATATAGAGTATTAAACTCTAACTGAGTATACTTGTGTTTAAAAAAAACACACACACAATTTAAATTGAATGTGAATTTCCCATGTGAACAAAGATACTCTGTACTAATGATTATCACCTATAATCCTGTGAAGTTCCCAAACGTTTGTAGATTTATCAGACCATGTGAAAAAGTGAGTTCCCAAAATTAGTCCAAGGCTGTGGGCTTGTAAATTGAGTGTGTGATCAAATAGCAACAATAACCCCAAGATACCTCTTGTCATGGGTGCCATCAACTGGAGGGAGCTTGGGAAGAGAGCATGCTCCCGGGGCCTGACTTCTCCTGTCTCCATCATCATCACTGTTGGTTGTGTGGCTGCAGGTGTTTACTGAGCTCTGACTCTGGGAGGAGAATAACGGGGTTCCTGTAATGGAAAGACTTCTGTCCCAAAGGGATCACTGGCGCTTGGGGGCAGGACAGAGAAGTGCAGGATGCTGTGCAGCCACGTTAGGGGCAGTGAAACTAACGGGAACTCCAGGAAGACTTTTTGAGGAAGTAATGTTTAAGGGATATCTGAAGGATGAGTAAGAACACCTAGGCATTGTCTTTCCTTCCCACTCAGATGCCTACTTTAATGGGGTTGGGGGTAGTTATCTATGTAGGAGAACTTCTACATGAGCTCTTCACTCGGACTTGAACAGCAGTGTTTTCTTTACGTTCTAGTCTCGCTGGATTGAGAGGCTCTAAATGCAGGATAAATGAAAGGTGACCTGTTTCGGTCAATGAATTGAACCTTGAAGAGTTAAAAGAAAATTATCAGTTGTACTCGACACCTTGTTCAAAGTCATTGTGACCATATTTGGTTCTTCTCAAAGTGAGGCCAGCCAACTTAGCTACATCAGAATCAGATGGTGGTGTTCGTGAAATGCATATTTCTGGATCCCACCTCGGACCATCTGAAGCAGAAATCATTTGAGAGGGCTGTACAGAGAACAACAGGTGTCTGTAATTTTAAAGAGCATTCACTTATCTAGATGCCATGTGTTACAGAGTCCTGAAATAATGCAAAATCCATGTTGAGGCCAAATTTAACTCACTTTTAAATTTTCGTACACATCAGTTTTTCTTTTATTTTAGAAATTGACTTTTTTTCTTTTTTTTTTTTTTTTTGGTTTTACCAGTCCTGGGCTGAAGTCACATTATTGGCTGATTCAGAATTATTGGGAGTTCTTCCTTTCTAACATGACTTTACTTTAAAAAGACACTAGAGGGCAGCATGAGGCCACAAACGTGCTGTATGGGCCTCAGGAGTGGGGGAAATCGTAACCTGCTCTATTTGCAAGGGGAAGCAGAATCTCTTTGTTTTCAGACATTTAAAATTCCACAGTTAGTCTTTATAGTAATGCATGCTTTTGTCTGTGGCTCATTTTATAGAGAGAACATGAGTGTAGAACCTTGAAAATTAGGGGCCATGTGTTTCATTCCTCACTTTGACTCCAATAGAGAAGGTCTGAAATGGACAGGAGACTAATGATCTCTCTGTGAGAAGACGAATTCCATGCAGGTGACCTTGTACAAATTATCTTTCCTGACATGGCCCAGATTCTCAGAGGGTTGTGTGTCTCTCCCTGCTGATACAGTTTTGCTTTCATCTTTATTTCCCAGCTGTTTTTGTTTTATTCCCTCTGGCTGTTATGTACACACAGCGACATGCCATGAAAGGAGCATCATAAATTTGCTCTCTGGAATGATTTCCGAGCAAACACAGTTCTATATTCATTTTGAATCTTCTGAGTCCTGCCCCCCTCAAAAGAGATAAAGGGTTGGTGTAATTCCTCCTCATATTTCTCCTTTTCTCCCTATATTTGGCAAATCTATATGTTAGTCTGTGTATATATTTGGAAGGGAATTAATATTTATTGAGCCTCTACTAAATGCTAAATAGATTTAAATGAAGTTATTTTATTTAATCCTTGCAATTATCCAGGGATTTGAATTGAGGTCCATCTTGCTCATTCATTAATCTAGTTCAAGAACAAAAAGAGGGAGGAAGAATAACTCTGGGCCCCAGTCTTCCATGAGTACTCTTGCTTAAGGCATCACCTAAACTTATTCTTCAAGAAATTGAGGGTAAATAATTTACTTGGTAGGGGAAACATAAAGATTCCTAGGCTCATAGGATAGAGTGCCCTCAGGTGGCCACTTAGCAAAACTATTAAAAAGTCAGTGCGGGAACTTATTTATGGGCCACATCTAGGTCAATCCAGGCAGTATTTTGTCCTTTTCTCTCCTCCATTCTGTCACTCAGACCCCAAATTCCTTGCCTTCCAGGGCTTTGAGCTCTGGTACTGGCTTTGGATCTTATCCCTTCTCCTCTTACCATTATTACTACCAACATCTGTCTCCTCCTTAACTTCCTCATATTTCTTCTTATTAATAAATCTCACCCTCAAGGCAACTACCTGCTGTTGTTTATCTTGCTACCAAGTCGCTAAAATGTCCCCTAATCAGGTACAACTCAACTAGGGCTTTCCTTTCAAGTATATTCAATCTCTAAGCAAATATTGGAAAATAAATAATACTCTTGCTCTTTTCTTCTTGATCTCAGATCAGTCTCTACTACTCAGCTCCCCACCCTCTCCAACCCTGAATCTAACACATATCCTTCCATTTTCTACCCGTTCATGTTGCTACTTGACAAATCTTTACTGTAGCAATTCAGTGAAGCAGATTCTCTTGAAAGTCCTAATCATGTTTTAACATGTCCAAGCTTTGTGTATTCAGCCCATATGACATCTGATAGCCCACTTGCCTTGCCTGGATAATTTGTTCAAACAGGAAACATTCAGAGAAGAGTCCAACTTTGAGCTTAGCCTTAGAGCAGGATACAGCATGGAACATCGAGGGAAAGTCCTATTGTTCTGAGGTTAGGCTATCAGACTATATTTATTCATTTTTTTTTAAGTTTATAAGTGAAAGAGATTCATACACATTGCTTCTGTTTATAGGGGATTATTTTAAGCGTCCATTAAGAAGTAAGAAAGACAAGAACCCCTTTCAGCTGCTGAACAATGAAGCCACACAGAGGATAAGAACTTTGATAAAGTAGACATACTAGAATGTCAAGAGTGACCTCT